TTGCGATCGATGTATGGAAATCTATATAGCATATCACACAGCACTTCATGTTGATGCTTTGTAGACAGTCACGTGATTTTATAATTCTTCAAATATAACCTCACACACAACAGTCTTGCTGACATTTGCGCACAGAACATATATAAACAATTTGCGTTTTACTAAAAAATACTAAACGTAAGTGCGCATGAGCACCTGAAATCTTCTGATTTGCTCAGGCATCTAATCGAGCCAAGATGGCGACTGATCAGTCGCGGCCACGAATTTTTCTAGATGCCCATTCCAGTATAGAGTTCAGTGGGTATTTGTGACAGTGCCACGCAATGAAAGCCAGCGTAGGTTATGGTTCCGTCAAGCTCGACGACCTGATGAACCAACACAATCAAATTATTTTTGTTGTGAGGATCATTTTGACGTAAGTAATAAAAATATTTAATTATATATAATAGGTCCCATTATTATCAGAATATTTTTCTAAAATTACATAGGCCGACATGAATTTTGACCCAGAAACGGCGGTATGTAATCCCGAAGGTTTTTGGCATGCTAAAACCAAATCCGTAGCCCGAATTGTCCCATCAGGTTTATGAGATATTCTAATTTAAAAACGCTCGAAATAGGCCCTTTTGACACTGTAAGGTTAGAATATTTCAGAAACGTGAAAAAGCGATTTGGACTGCAAATTTGATTTTAGCACACCAAAATCCTTCGGGATTATATACAGCCGTTTCTGGGTAAAAAAAGGATATTTTTTGTAGACCTGTGTTATGATTGACAATAATAATAATTCTATAAATACATTTGATAAAAACATATTAATGACTTTCTATAAAAATGAGTCCTTTTTTTTATATAAGTAATATTTTTATCAGTTAAAAAACGATATGGAAAATTATGTGCGCTTTTCTCTAATGGGCGAGCCAATAAAAATGAAACACGATGTTGTGCCGCATAAGTTTGCTTGTCAACCTGATAGAAAGCGAACAGCAAATTATCCCCTTCGCCTTAGTTCTGAGAAACGAATACGTAAAATGGAAGTTGCAGATATTTTGACTACTTCTGGATGCTCCTCATGGTCAGATATTGAAGAGAAAGAAAACAGAACATCAAATATTCCAACAGCAAATGTAAGAACTCAAAATTAAATTTTATCGAAGTATTACTATACGAATTCATATTATTATTAAATATGAATATTAAATCTCTCTAATATCATAAAATGGTATTTTAGGAAACAATGGTTCAATCTGTTGAAGTGGAAAAAGCTTTAGATGACCTTTCCACTTATTCTAGTACTGAGAACCATGCAAACTTTCATCACAAAGGAATATAAGTCAACATACGCCCACATATTCGTAGTAAATATGTGTTATGTAATTTAACAGTTCCAATGTCTGATAAAAGTTGTTCTCCGATTAAGCTACACTCTAAGAGTATTCCTTCTATAAAAATTAACGTTCCAAGTAGTAGCAAACAACCAAGCACAGATGTTTCATCGACTTCAGTACCATCTATTTTAATTGGAACAACTTCGAGCAATTACGAACCTTATTCAGATGAAACAAAAGAGCTAGAAATAAGAGAACAAATGCAATCTAATGCACTTTCGATGACAAATTACTTTATTAGTACTAATACTAAAAGTTATCTCGGTATCCTGAATGAATGGTACTGGATTATAGATCTTTTACATGCACAGACTAAAATTATACCAGAGCATATCAAATTAACATTAATGAAAATAAAAGTTAATGACACTTTTCGTAGATTAGGGGAGCAATTTGGCATATCACACGCTCAGGCTAGCAACATATTTAACTCCACTGTACCGCGTTTGGCTCACATGTTGAAAACTCTAATATATTTTCCACACCCAATGAGTATAAGAAAAGCTTTGCCAATTTCATTTCGAGCGAATTTTAGTAATGTACAATCAATAATTGATTGTTTTGAAATACAAATTGAAAAGCCTACAAATTCTGTACATCAAGCTCTTACTTGGTCAGAGTATAAAAAATATAATACTCTTAAATATCTTATATCAACAACACCGTATGGATTTATTAATTTTGTTTCGACTGGCTACGGAGGTAGAATCAGTGATACATTAATTACTGAAAAATCTGGATTTTTAGATATTTTACCAGATGAATGTGACGTTATGGCTGATCGAGGATTTAAACAAATACAAAAATATGTTAAATAAAAAAAAATGTATCCTAATTCGCCCTCCTACTGTTTCTGCTAGTGTAAAGCCATCTAAGGTTGAAGTTTTAGAAGCTAAACGCATCGCCAGTTTACGTATACACATTGAACGTGTGATTAGACGATTGAGAGAATTCGAAATGTTGAAACCGCATGCATGTATTCATCATAATCTTCTGTGCCATACCGATTCGATAGTACTTATTGCATCAGCATTAATTAATTTGCAAACTCCCATAATAAAAATATGGAAATAATACAAGCCTATAGATAAAATGTACAATATAATTTTAAAAAAATAGACAAACAACATATATGTGTGACATCTTTATCCTGTATAATTTTATTTATTCTGTAATGACATATTATTTTATTAACATTGAGATTCATGAACTTTTGTGCCTGTACAGCTTTGGAAAAATATAGCGTTTCCAGAAATCTACAGCATTTTCTATTATGGAATTTGTGAAATCCTCATCATAATTTTCCCAAATAAGTGTTACTTGTTTAGACTCTTCAAAGTTTGGATCTGCGACGCAAAAGAGGCCTCTTTTTTTTCCACAGGCAAAGATTTGCATATTTATTTGCGCTTTACATTTTTTATTGATCTTCCCAGATGGTAGAAACTGTTCAAACGTTTTTAAGATTGACGGACATTTTATTTCAACAATAACATCATCTCCTAAGGCATCAGGCGATGCTCCTAATACTGGAAATTGAGGTAATAAAAACAGTCCATTGTCTTGGAATCGCAGTCCCGTCATTTTTGCGACCTCTAATAAAACTTTCTTTTCCAACCGTTTCCCTCGCTCCATTACTTGTGATTCAAATATCTTTGAAGCACCAATGATTTGTTGTACCAACGATCCATCTAATGTTTTGCAGTGTACTGCTTCATGTACTCGTATTCTTGAGGCTGTAATTCTGCCATAACGAAGCTCATGCCAAGTGCAGGTATCACTCTGAGATCTGGTACACTTTTCTGCCATGCGACATAAATCTTCCGACATTACTTTACTAGCATATTCAAGAAATTCATCTGCAAAACTAGATACTGTTTCGTAAAAATTTTGTAATAATTCATGTATTGACAAACACTTCAATTTATGGTTTTTCAATACAAAATTGTGTCTGGAAAGTTGACTATCCAACTGCTTTTGTTCTGCTATTTTTAGTACATTTTGTCGAAACAACGAATTGTCAGGTAGAGATGGTTCTGCCATGTTTGTTTTCTTCAATTCATTCAATTCAATGTATTTTTTTGATGCACGAATGGAAGCCAAAGTAGAGCGGCGCCAATAACACTCTACTTCTGTGACAGAAGGGTGCTCCGATCTCCTGTGAGTCCACATAAGAAAAGCAATCGCATGCTTACAACCTCCTATGAAATATATAATTATTGATTAGGAAAATAAGACTAAATTTTAGTTAGGATTTATAAATTTACCGCTTGATGCTGCACAGTCATGACATTTAACGTCCAGGATTTTTTCATCTTCGTTAACGGTCAGTGTGACCGAATATCCTTTGCTATGTTCAGGACACACTTTGCATTTTAAAATGCATGTTTTTGTTAACTGTTCCCGTTTAAGACATACGTAGCCTATAGCTTCATCACCGTACGATTCACGTGATGACCTAAAATAATTGTTCAATATTATTGTTTGAAAAATTATTCTCTATTTACATCGAAAAAATAATGAGTCACAATAAAACAAACAATCACGAATAGTAGACTTACATTGCAGCTTTTGTATTCCTAACCTCAGCAGCGTTAAAATTATCACTCTGTTTTATGTATTCGCACACCATAAACATGTCAATTTTTGGCAGATTTGTTGTATCAGCTTTCATATAACCTGGCTCTAAAATATTTGCCATTTTTGTACACTATTAAAAATAAAACTGTGGAACTGTTAATGTACGTAATAGCAGACAAAAACGCGCGAAGGCGAGACAACCCTGTGACGTCATACAAATGAACCACCAATAGTATAGCGTTTTCTTCCGTTTGAATGTTCACGAAATTTTAAACTTTATTAATAAATAAATATAAATGAATTAAATAATTTCATTATTATAGATATAGTTTATAATGCTTATATTTCGATAAATCAATTGAATTCAGCCATTTCGAAATTTACTTGAAGACCGAATTATCGATAATTATAAAGAATAAGCTGCGAACGCGCGACGAAGTTGCGCCACGCTCGTGAGTGCAGTTGCAATATATACACTGGACAAAATTAACGAAACACCTGTTTCACTCTACAAAAATAGACAAACTTCAAGATAGAATAACTTCGTCAAAAATCGTCGTATCGAGATGTTTAAAAAAGCATTTTACAGCTTGAAACCTCTATTTTTCAGATCACTACTTTAAAAAACGGTCTCATGGAGATTTTATGGAGTTACACAAACATAAATGAAGATATATCAGATCTAAAAATTTTTTAAGAAATTTGCGAAGTTTCACAGAGTGGACTAAAAATTGTACACAAATGCGATTTACATCATTCGAAAGAGCGAATCTTTATCTTTAATTTGCTTTTTACAAAGCTCCGTGCGATATTTTTTCATCGAGTTATTCAACGTTGAAGCAAAAATGACTCTTTTGCTTTCGATGAAAAAAAATCGTACGGAGCTTTGTAAAAAAGCAAATTAAAAATAAAGATTGGCTCTTTCGAATGACGTAAATCGCATTTGTGTACAATTTTTAGTCAACTCCGTGGAGCTCCGCAAATTTCGTAAAAAATTTTGAGATATGATATATCTTCATTTATGTTTATGTAACTTTATAAAATCTCCATGAGACTGGTTTTTAAAGTAGCGATCCGAAAAATAGCGGTTTCAAGCTGTAAAATGCTTTTTAAACATCTCGATACGACGATTTTTGACGAAGTTATTCTATTTTGAAGTTTGTCTATTTTTGTAAAGGGAAACAGGTATTGCGTTAATTTTGTGGCTCAGTGTATATATAGGATGTCTCTAGAAAAGCCGTTTGAAATATCTCGTTACTTATTGATTTTGTCCAAAAATGTTTCAGATGAAAATGTATACATATTCATATTTTATAAAGTAATTTTAAAACTATGCTATCTGCAGCAGCTATTAGTAATACAACTTTCATATTGCTGTTGCAGATACATACGGAAACATTTGCATTATATATACAGGGTGACCCATTTTAATTTAGACAACCAAATAACTCGAAACATCGCGATTAAATAAAAAAATGTTTAAAACAAAAATTGTTGGATATGAAGGGGCTGATTGAATTATGACCTTGACAATGACCTTGACCTTCATTTTCAAGGTTATTTGAAAGTCTACTTTCAATTTTCAAATAGAAACCCATATTTTTGATCCCGGATTTTGAAAGAGCGCAAAATTTTAGTCCAGATCAACTTTCATGTTATGGGTCAAAATTGACCATAGAGGTCATTTCAAAGACAAATTCCTAATCGAAGCAGAAAGCCAAAAAATCTTGATTTTTCCCGGATAGTGTTTGTGAGAAAAATTGT